AAATTTTAATTTATCAATTATTTAATTAAATTTTTTTACCTGGCATTAACAATAAAATTAATATTATTTATTTATTTTATATATCGATTTTTGAAATAGTAGTTTTAACATATGTACACAAGTCACAAATTAAAAAAACCTTATTAATATAAAGATTCTGAATTTAAAAATTTATACCCGGATTTAATAATATTAATAAACTAAATTGGATAATGTTAATCATTATTAATTAATTTCAGTTAAATTTAATTTATTACTGTAATTGGTTTGATTAGCATTAATTAAGTTTTTTATTAATCTAATTGAAATTCACATTTTCTAATATATATTTTATATTTAATTTGCTTGAAAAGTGTAAATTTTGATTTTAATTTAATTAATTAATTGAAATTATTCTCTTATTAATAATGTTGATAAAATAAATGTCAATTAATATAATTAATGTCAATTAATTACAAAAGGTATATTTACTGTACCTTTAAAGTTAACTTATTGAAATTTAATTGAAGATATTGATCATTTTTTATTAATTACCATAATTTGGAATTGAGTACCTAATTGTCTCTTGATTAATCATAATCAACCAATTAAATAATTCATTTTAAATTGGTTAACCATCAAATTTTTCAAAAGAAAGTCAGCCTGATCAAACAGTTTCAATTTTATCCGCTCGAGTCCACTAAGTTTTTTAACTTATTCAAAAGTCGGTCCTCAAGGTGTCAGTTTGTTAAAATCTGGTTCATGCATTTTCAATTCTTTCAATTTGGTTTTTGCATTGATAATTCATTTTAAATTGATCCTCATCGTTAAATTACTTACTTCAATATTTCATAGGCCCAAAGATCGAAATAGTTGCCACACATGCAAGTGTTTATTAAAGAAAGTTATACAAAAAAATATTTTTATATGACCACTCTATTACCATATATCAAGTGATACACATATTATCATAACCAGTAACAGAATTAATCTCTTAATATCTTAAAAAACGTAACTTATATATCATAACTTTTATCATATCATTATCTTAACCCTTAATCTCAAAATTTTCTTACCTTTGAACATTTCGTTCTAGTTTAGTGTTATAAATTTTGGATTAAAATTGTTCATTTTTTGTGAGTGATATGTTTAAATTTTATGATATATTTTTTTTTCAATTAATATATATAAATGATTTCAATATATTTAAAAAAAAATTTCTTTCTTTTTATGGCTGTTCTTCCAAAATTACAACATAAAGCAAATAATGCCCTCCACTGACACCGTCCCCTTGTCCGTCTCTCCGTTTCTTCTTTTCCAACCAGATAGCCACTTTTCAGCCACATTTCTTTAGTCCGCGTCCTTTCCTCGCTTGGAAAAACACAGCAACTGTCGGAGAAAAGCAATGGGTTAATTTTGTACGAACGAAACTCGTCAATCAGAGTGGACAAAAGTTTGATTTTTTAAAATAAAATTTAAAATTTAAAATTTGTGGATGAAAAAATTTTAATATTAAAAGAATTTTTTTATAAAATTTAATTTAATTTGACTTTAAATTAAAAAATTGAATATAACCTACAAGCACCAAAATTTAGTAAAAGGATTTTTTTATTCTGTATTTTTAAATACAGAATAAAAATATATTTATTATATTTTTTTATAATAATATATATAATAAAATTAAAAATTGAAATTAATTTTATTAATTTTTTAATAAAAATATTTACATATCATAAAAAAACATTAATGTTAAATTTTTTTATTTTTATTTAAATTAATACATAAAAAATATATTTAAAACTCTCATCCGATGATAACACAAGTTACACAAATCCTTAGATCAATTTTGTCCACTTACAAGCAAAGGTTGATATGGAGGGAAGAGAGATCGAACGGTGAAGATGAGGGAAGGTGAGAGAGTCTAGGTTTTTGTGAAATTTTTATATAAATATGATGAAGAACAGTAAACAAAAGAGACTAAGAGACGGGGTTGGCCGACAGCCACAAAAGGAGATCCGTGGGGGTTTCCATTCCCTCGCGGATTCTGAGATTTTGGTGAGTTTTTTGGCTTCGATTTCCTCTGAGCTTGAATCTAAGAGTGGAATTGGAGCCTTAACCTCTGTTTCTGGGTACGGTTACTGTGGATTTGTAATTTCTATCAAGAAATTTTAGTGAAGTTTCAACTAAATTTATATTATATTATATTGTACTACATTAATTATGATACAGGGTTAAGTTACTTAATATTGATATTTTATTTTATAATTTTTGTTTTATAATTTAAATATAATCTATACCACAAAGCAGGTTCAAAATTTTAAAGTTTCACTATTTTTGTACAACCTTGATCTTAAAAACTACTTATTGATTGTATTGAAGTACCAACTTAACCTGGAGTCCCTTCATTTTCCTGTGTGGGTTTTTATTTTTTTATGATTATTATCTATTTGAGTAGTCCATGTATTTAGTAATGATAAATGTATTTTTTAGATTTTAATTAATACAAAAAAATAAAGTTGACATTACTTTAATACCTATACTATGTGGATATTTATATTAGTAAATAATTAATAAAATTAATACACTTACATTTTTTTATGTATATTAGTAATAAAAAGGTATAAAAAAAGCTTTAACCTATGCCCTATAAGTATAGAATAAAAAAAATTCTCAACAGTTTAATATATTTTACTCCATTAATTTTTATAATTCATAAGTTATAATTCATGATTTAGATAATTTAGGGTTTAAGATTTATTAGATATTTTAGGGATTAGATTTTTTTGTTTTTGTTTTTATTTTTATTTTTATTTTTATTTTTTGGGTTAGGGTCTGAGACATTAGGCTTTAGTTTTTTTAGAGTTAATTTTTTTAGAAGGTTAGGTTTTAGATTTTATAGGATTAAGTGGATTTAGATTTTAGAATGTTAGGACTTTTGGGCCGCACCAGCACGAGCCACTACAACACCTTCCCAGCGTCTTCGATCTCCTCCCTGAATGACGCTGGCCTCCGGCTCCCCTATCCCCTGATCGTCCTTAACAGCTGTGTTTTAGAATTGAAGGATGGACTCTGTTTTTCATATCTGAAATAACATATATTTGAGATTTTAAATTTTTTGGGGCTCCAATCAAAGCCTCCATTATCCATACGCCTACGATAATATTAGTTACTGGAGCACGAGACTACCGTTATTGGCAAACTGCCAACAATGGTTTTTGTTTCATTTTTTTCATTTTTTTCCTTTTAACTTCTTTTTTATATTTTCAGATGTCTTCTTAAATAAAATATTATATAATTTAAATTATTAAATTAAAAACAAATTTTTTTAATATTGAGAGATATTACCTATTTAATAAAAATAAAAGTTTTTTTTATTACAATTTAAATTGTAAAATAATAGATCTTTTAAATTTAAAAAAATTGTATCATTTCAAAGAAAAAAAAGTGTATTAGTAGACGGCGGCGAACGAGGCATGTAAGTATTTCCTAACTAACGCTGACTCCTAAAGAGAAGCGTATCTTCTAACTAACATGGGTTCAATTTGCAAACGAGAAAAATCACAAGAGCCGATCTGCAAACAAACGCAAACACAAGAACTTGCCTTTTTCTTTAATTGGTTTTCTTTCTTCTCTTTAATGAATTTGAAGACTTCTGTCTCTTGCTTCTATAAAAAAGAGAAAAATTCTATCTGTTTATTTTATTGTTTTTTATATCTTTGTTTTAATTATTATATTTATTTTAAAAAAAATTATTATGTAATTTAAATTATACAAGATTATAGAACAGAGATTATTAGACAAAAAATTATATCTCTAGCTATCTTATTTAACAATTTTATGCAATTCAAATTTCAAATTAAGTAATCTTTTCTTTAACTAATCTTTCTTTTAATTATATACTTTTTATATTTTATCTTAATTCTTACAATAAGTATATTAGACCACTCGAAATGATAATCTAATAGAGCTTATTGATGACTATATATATATATAGCCGCATTGATATGATCACATCACTGTCATTTGAGTTTTGAAAATTAAACAAGCGGTGTGCTCTCAAGTTTCATTAGGACTTGCGCGGCTGCCGCTTGGGGAATCACACTCTTTTGGTTCACCTATCTCATTTTCATATGCTGACACTAACAGAAATAGTTTTATGTGATTAAATATTTCATAGGGGCAAAGATGGAAATAGTTGCTACACACACAAATGTGATTGTCCATGAAGTTCTTACAGGAGGTAACTACAAAAAGTGGAGCATTTTAATGCGGTACTATTTATTTGGTCAGGATCTTTGGGATGTTGTCCAATCAAGCCAGTTGCCTGCTGAAGGAAATAGGAGGAGTGAGTGGATGAAAAAAAATGCATTAGCTCTTCATGCCATTATGATTTCTTGTGGAGAAAAAATCTTCGCTCAAATAAAGGAGAAGGATTCTGCTAAAGATGTTTGGGATGCATTGGCTGATATGCACAAACCCCGACCTATCACCCCTGTAGAAAGGCGAATAGGTTTTATTCTATTTCATCTCTGTTTTAATTTTTTTTTTCTTTTTTGCATCTATTAATTGCAGAGACTGCAGTATGGTTTGAGTTTTTTAAGGTATTGGTTCAGATTTGATGGTTAACAAATTTATCTGCAATGTTTATTTTAATCTTTATAATTTTTTTTTTGGGTAAGATTTTAATCTTTATAATACAAAGAAGAATCGGTGAGGGTGTTGTTTTTATTGCGGATACAATTGTGGTTGGCATGCAGGGCCTGTAAATCTTGCAAGTTCGCAATATGAGACCTTAACTAATGCCATTTTCAATGGGGACCTTGGACAAGTACAAATGTTCTTTAGAGAAAATTCGAATCCAAGATCTGCAAGAATATTTGAAAATGGGTACACAGCTCTTCATTTTGCAGTTTATAATGGGAAGAGCGTAATTGTTGATTACTTGATCAGGTACAAGCTGTTCAAAAAAGACCTGGAAACAACAGATGATTCTGGGAACACGGCTCTTTCCATTGCTGCTCGTTACGGAGTCGGGAAATCAATTGCACAAATTTTAGTTAGAAAGAACGACAAATTGCTTACCATCCCAGACAATGATGGAAAGATCCCAGTTGAATTGGCATGCAGAACAATTCAAGAGGACATGACACGCTATCTGTATCGTGAGACTCCACTTGTCTCACTAAAGTCTCTAAACGTTGACTGTGGCTTGGACATCCTCCAAGAGTGTATAACTAGAAAAATGTTTGGTGAGAACTCTTAACATTAATTAATTATTTGTCTCCTTAGTACTCACTTTTTTTATTTTGGAGTAGACATAATTTGATTTTTTAATTTTTAAAATATAAATTTTAAATAAAAATTTAACATATTATATAAATAATAATTATATTTTTTTATTAAGTAAAAATAATTAACAAAAATTATATCTAGAGAAAATGAATTTTTTAATTATTATTCATATACGATATTAAATTTTTATTTAAAATTTATCTTTTAAAAGTAAAAAATTAAATTAAACTTACTAAAAATAAATTAAAAAAATATATTATATAAAAACTAAAATTAAAATATCTTAATATTTAAAATATTAAAATTATTTATAAAATTATTTAAATATGCTTAATAAATTTTCTTTAAGAGTTGACTCATCAAATTTGTTAATTTATTAAGTATATTTAAATATTTTCATTATTACTCTTAAAATTCTCATTATTGAAATATCTTAAATTTTTTTGCCATCAATTTATATTATGTTGTTATTTTATTTTTTCTAACCAACTTTGATGCTAGATATTGCGTTCGATCTACTCCACCAGTTTCCAGAGTTAGAAGATCGCGGTTGTCGTTTGGGACTCATTTTTACACTGGCTCAAACACCACCCCCATTCTTTAGCAAAAGTGACCTTTCGTTTTGGGAACGGTGCTTATATAATTGTCAGTAGTGCTTCTTTTTTTTCTTTTTAATTTTTAACATAATAATTTTTTCTTTTAATATATTTAAAATTATTTGGCTAGAAACAAATTTAATATTAAATTCCTCACAACCCTCGTAACCTATTTGGGTTTATTTTATTTTTCCATCTTTCTTTCTTTCTTTCCTTTTTTTTTTTTTTTTTATCAGTTTGTTCTTCTTGATTAATTTAATCTATTAAATGCTCTCTTTATCGATTGAAATTGTAATTCAAGGCATAATAGTGAAGGCCCACGTCATCAAAGAAGATAAGCATCCATCATGTGTAGAGAAGATGCGAGACTTTTTCCAGCCATTTATGCAGGAGATCCAACAATGGGTTAAGCCATTTGCAGAGACGACGCAACAGATGATGCGACAGATTCTAGACAGTGCGCAACGGCCGATTCAAGAAAATGAAGAGACGAATCAAGAGAATCAACCGACGATTCAAGGGACTGAAGAGACGAATCTAGAGAATCAACAGACGAATCAAGAAACGAATGGAGATATTCAAGAATTATCATTTATACGCAAATGCGGTATATAATCTTTTAATATTTGCAATTTTCTCGAGTGACTTTGTAGAATTTGTTGGGTAGATGCCTGGCGCAAAAGTTGCCCCTTGGATTTCTTGCTTTTCCTTATAATTTGGTAAAAGTCATTTTTTGTTCATATGTTATAAGTTAAAAGGCAATTGGAAATTAGGGATGGGGAATTATTCATACAAAGTTGGGATATAGTCAAGGTCTATAATGCACATTGCTAGTGCAGCGAGCACCGCAAGTGCTTATTGCATCTACATATGAACTCATTAATAACTAATTCATTCTGAATTTTACTAATTCACTACAAAGGTATTATATGCAAAATGATTTTTTAATCTATATTTGAGTCTTTTTCTTTTCCTTTTTCCTTCTTTTTTGTGCTATATCTTGATTCTTATTTGTAGAAACGATATAGCAAATCTATGTTCTTTTTTTAATCAACATAGAAAATTTATTTGGATTCTTATTTTTAATCAGCATACATATATTTGTAGAATGAGTTATATGCTTTGTTTTTTGTGCTGTATCTTAATTCTTATTTGAGTTTCATAATGATTAATTCTTGCTTTTTGTTTTATAATTTGGATTCAATTCTTTTTAGCTTCCCATATATGCTGAGTTAAAGGCAATCCTTTTAGCTAAAGATGATGGAAAAAGTATGTAATTAATTATTGTAGTTGATGACTTCATTCCTTCTGATTAATGAATATAATTCATTCATTGCAGTGATTCCATTAGAACTAGTGGCATTCCTCATTATTGGTAAGCAGTAACATCCACTCAATTAGCCTTTTTTCTTTTTTTTTTTTTCTTTTTCATTTATGTTAATTTTATTTATAAAATTCATTCCTTCGGAATTTTAAATATTACTTGCTTACTGCAGGGTTACCACTTGCGATATCACTTCATTTAATTGGTAAGCAATATTGTCCACTCACTCGATGAGACTTTTATTCCCTTAATTTATTTCAATGTTATGTCTTCAGCAGCAAAGCTTATTGATGGATGTATATGTCATTCCTTTTGGTGTTTATACTTTGGATTAAGGTCATTCTATCTTTCTTCTTGTATTATGAGTTAAAGGCAATATTTTTCACTAAAGATCATGTAAAGCGAATCAATTATTGTAGTTATGAAACTCTCGTTCTTTCTAATCTTGAATATATCTCATTTGCTGCAGGGTATGCAGTCCTAAGCACGCTTGAAATGCCACTGCTCCTTGGTATACTGATCCGTGGTAAGCAATAAGCAACAGCATCCACTCAATGAGCATACACATTTTAGCTAACGGTTATAAAGGCAATAAATTGCAAATATGAAACTCATTCTTTCTGATCCTGAATATATACTCATTCATTGTAGTGGCTCTACGCCCACTGGTTTCAATGCTCTCAAGGATTCTTGGTAAGAAATTATACTGCGTCTACTCAATGAACCCTTTTCTTCATTTTTGTTCTATATCTTGATTCTTCTTTACATTAAAGTTATTTTTCTTCCTCTTTTGTTATTAGCAAAGAATATATACACTGGAAAGTTGATGGATAAGTATGCCTGTGAGGTTATATCTTTAATATGTCAGCCATTATCAAAATTAGATGAGGACCTTTTTGTGCAAAGTAGAGCAGTGGACGCAATCTTCCAGGCTATCAAGAATGACATCCCAGTCATTGTGAAAGAAATTACAAAAGCTAATAAAAGTATTTTGTGGAGAAGGTTAAATCTTGAAGATTCAAGAAACATGTTTGCTTGGGCTGTAGCACATCGTCAAAAGGAGGTGGCACGCCTTCTTTATGAATTTGCAAAGGAGGATACAAACATGGTTATTAACGTCGATGAAGACTGGAATAATATCTTACATCAAGCAGCAAAGTTAGCCCCTCCTTATCAATTACGTTGTATCTCTGGCTCAGCCTTGCAGTTGCAAAGTGAACTACGTTGGTACAGGGTAATTATATTTTTATTTGTTTTTTCAAGTTAAGTATTGAGAAATCTCATATAATTTCTTATTTCATATATTATGAAACACTGTAGGGGGTAGAAGAAATTGTTCCACGATCTTACCGTGAACACAAAAACAAAGACGGGGAAACTCCTCTGGAAGTGTTTGATAGAGAACACAAGGATTTGCTAAAAGAAGCAGAGGAATGGGGGAAGAAAACAGCAGAATCTTCAACAGTCGTTGGTGCTCTTATTATTACAATTATGTTTGCAGTGGCTTTTACTGTTCCTGGTGGGAATGATCAAAGTACAGGTTTTCCCATACTTATGCACAAAACTCCGATACCGTTTATGGTATTTATGGTCTCAGATGCACTTTCTCTTTTTGCTGCATCCAGTTCAGTGATAATATTTTTGGGGATTCTGACTGCACATCATGCTGCTGAAGATTACCGCAAATACTCCCTCGTGATTTGGGGCCTAACTTTTCTCTTCATCTCTATTGCATCAATGACCGTTGCATTTTGTGCTGCTCTTTTCATCATGCTACAAGGTCGATTGGTTGTAGTCATTCCTATAACTCTGGTTGCTGGTTTTCCAATCGCGTGGTTCGTGCAGTTGCAATTCCCTCTTCTGGTTGATATTTTTTGTTTGACTCTTAGGCCAAACATTTTTGGTAGGAGAGAAACATCCTGGATGGACAGAATGATGGCAGACATGCTCGATTTGTGGACGTGGGCTTATAGGCGCTTTAAAAAATTGCTTTGAATAAATGATTGTAGTCATGGATATCTACCTATGCTTTGACTGTTGGTTATGGTTGGTTGATTGATTATACTTATGTATTTGCTTCGGATGTGATAAACATTTGGTGGATATATATATATATATATATATATATATATATATATTTTAAGATTTTAAATTTTAAAGTGCTAAATTCTTCTTTAATTGTTTTTTTTATCGTCAATTTATTTTTTTATTAATAAATAAAATATTATTAGAAAAATATAAGAAGTGCTCTAAACGTATTTTATATGAACATAAAATCTTAAGATAAGGATTCTGTTTTAAGGATCTCTGCGTTTTAAGGGCTACACAAAATCTATTGCAAATCCATTGTACCACGTGTATGTAACCAATACCTCCCGCGCGTCGAATGTCTTTTCAGGTAGTCATCTCTAAATTCACATTACTAGACAAACTATAAATCCCCACAACCCACGTGATAAAAGATCTTTTAGGTCACAATGTAAAATAGGATATATATATAATATTGTTTAACAAAGTGGCAGATCTTGCCATGCGGATGGTTTAATTATATGTGGAGATTAGTTAAATTTGAATAAAAAAAAACTTTAAATTCATTTCTGAATATAATTCGATGTTTTAAATAAACTTAAAAAGAGATTTTTGTGTGAATTTTTTAACATGATTTTTGGATTGCCTACCAAATTGCTTGTTTATTACAATTGTTATATTCTTGGACCGAGTAAAGGAGGGCTATATAATGGTCATGTTGACATGCTTCTATCATATTGAAACTAGTTTTGCTCCCATCTTGCCGTCAGTAAAGGAGTGATGGCTATCGTTCTGGGATAGAAATAGTAATTCAGTGTGGACCAACAAGGTACTCAGTGCACTGCATCAAATTAATTTGTTGACCAAGTAGCCAAATCCTCAGCCCCAGGAAGATGTAGGAGATGAAGAATACACAAAGGTACGTAGTTGATAGAAATGCCAGCGCTTTTTAGACGAAGTCTACGTTAGACGCAACCTTGGTGTTGCTGAACCTCCAAATCCATTGAGGCAGCAAAGTCCAAAGGAAGCTGCGGTGAAGGAGGTGCTGAAAAGTTCGAGAGAGCAGTTACCATGATGCAAAGAAAATGACAACCAAAGCACCAAGGGACTATAATGAATAGGTGGAAAGTGCGAGGAATGTATTTAGACATCTGTTTTGCTTAGCTTGAATTTTTTCAAGCTTTGAGTGTTACCGTCGGAGTTGTCACATTCAAACTTGCACAAATGATGAAAATGAATCTCTAATGAAATAACAGCAAGAAGGCAGCAAGTTTGCCCCATTGTTTTGTTCTTTTGACGACAGAAAACAGAGAAGCCATTAAACATGGTAGAGGTGGCTGTGAAGAAGGCAATAAACCAGCAATCCAGAAAATGATGAAGCAAGAGATGTAATGCAATAGAATTTTTGAAAAGTAAGGTCAATTAGTCAAATGCAAGTCCTTCAAATACTGAGGAATACAGGAGCTGGGGGTGAGATATTGAAAAGTTCATAAAGTTCCAGATATGGAAGCCTTTGTGACTAAAAGTCCGTAGTTCTAAATCCATGCGTAAACATAAACAAAGCAAGGAAGTGCTAGTGTACACTACAACCATAAGAAAATGGAATACCACAGACTGTATGTCTGTGCTACATCTAAACACCAAAGTAGAAACTTGAGATGAAAGAAAACTTTTTCAGGTAAAATAAAAGAAAAAAAATTATAATCTATTTTACTCCAGTGCCAAACGCATTTTCATCAATGATTTAGAAAGAACAGATGTAAAACATATTTGACCAGCCACAAAAAAATTAATGTCAGACAAGAGACATCCTTGAATTAACTTTTATAGTTTGAACAATAATCCTACTATAACTACATGTTGCATCAACTGAATGAAGAATAAGATTTTTTTTTTTATATATATATATGTTAAATAAAAAAGTTAACTATTTAACATTATAAATATTTTAATATCAGATCTTGACTTCAAATTAAGGTTTTTAAGTTAATGAATACCAATTTGACTAAACTCTTGTTGGTGTCAAGTGTATGATATCATAAATCTAAATGTTGCATTAAAGACGCAAGCTACTTACATTATGCTGCCGATTAATGTATTGAAACTTTAAGCAACAGGGGAGCACTGAAAGAGTTAAATGATTTATATTATTTGATATTTCTTTGCAAGGAATAGAGAAACATTATAATTACTACTTCTAGCTAAAGAAAGAGGCATAAAAGTATTTATGTGAGCTGAGTAGATTAGTGTTATGGATCCTCATAAACACTGCCGTAATTTCCTATTTCAAACTACCAGTAAATTTTTGTAGTTAGAGGATTTGGTGTATACATGATACACTTGCGTTCTTAGGTGCTATATTGATAAATAAATAAATAAATAAAATTCTGTTTGATTGAGGAAACAGGGACTGAAGATAAAAACAATTTTCCTTAAACTAGACAGATATTGAACAGGACTTCTAACCGTAAGCACTGACCCGAATGTTGAAGCCACATCCAAATGTGCAGGCCAAAGATGATCACATTTACTCGCTAGCATTTGCAATCCTTACCATACTGAGCATATTCCAGTCCTTCTTAAACCTTTCTAACACAGTAGCTTTAGGAGCATCTTGTCTTGTTTTCCTTTCCTCACAACTCCCCAGCATTCTATCAGTTCTCAGCAGATTTTACTGTTCTTTGAAAGGCAAGGGCTGTTGAATGTTGTGCAAGAGAGTGTGTCCCTGATCAAAGTCTGCAGAGTGGAACACGGCCAAAGTGATTAATTTGCCCTCCAAACCCAATGCCATTTGGAATGGTCTCTGAACTGAAACTCACAGCACACTGCCAATCGGAAATTGTAAGCTACATAAGTCAGTTAAACAAAACAACAATAAGCAGTTGAACAACAATAATACCGAGGGCCAAAAATAAAGACAATGGGACTAAATGCATGAGTAAACATAAAACGAAGCATGGAAATCCTACTGTACTCTAGAAGGAAATGGAATACCACCGACCATGGGAGCTGGGTGCTACTTTCCAACTACTAAAATAGAAACTTAAGATAAAAGAAACGAGAAAAAAGAAAAAACTGTTTCAGAAAAAAAAAAAAAAAGGGAGGGTATGAAT